TGTGCCCCCCCCCCCGGACCCCTGTTTAGAAAACTCATAATGAAAGCACACGAAAAATTGCATTTGTAAAGTGAATAACCGTATATTAAACCGAGAACGAATCACAAGGTAGAGAACTTTGAATGAGTACGACTGGGTGTTTAAGGATAGTACGTAAAGCTTTGTTCTTATGATCTTTTAAAGCAGTAGCTTCACATCCCCCACTCACAGAGTCTAGAACAGAGTAAGGTGTTTGGTTTATGCTTCTAGTCCATTGCTGTATGATTCTAGAGACGTTTTATAACAGATGTTAGTGAGGATAGGCTACCCAACACATCAGTTAAGGACATTTAAAAGCACGTGTACATAATGTGAAGTCTGCATGAAGAACGACGTAGGAGATGATAAACCCACACAGTTAGTGTGTTACGTTCTGTAAAGTTTGTAAGAGTAGTGATGAAACATACAACGGACAAACCTCTTTTGATGGTTTACAACGATTAATTTTGATGACTGAGACAGTAAGTTCCTCAGAAACGTCAGTCAGTATGAACCAGGCTGCACGGTATTACATCGCGGAAGACAGCCAACTTCATACTCGTCGCCATGAGAAATTGAAACTTAACCAGGCCGTAAATATGTTTGAATATGAAAGTAAATGTTAGTCTTCTTCAGACTTTACCCAAGAATTAATTCTGTCAGAAGTCTGACAATTCATCTCGGAGCCGAGCACTCAGCAGACAAATTATTAACATTTGAAGTTTTGTTTATAAAGTTATTGATACTTCCTACAACAGTTCAGAGTAATTAATTTCGGATCTCTTAAAGGATATTAATCTTGAATGAACTGTATTTCCGTCTTTTATGTAATTGACCCAGCAACCGAGAGTCTTATACTTTATTACGGACTTGTATGGATATGTTTAGGGCGGAAATTTATTTCTGTTAGAAGGAAGGTTATTAAAAGTTATTACTGCGACTTCTCGGATCCCACTTGATACCGAGTTGGGGTGGGTTTTGGGAGAAGATTGTGAAGGGTGAAATGATAAGAACTTCATTGCTTCATCCCTCCCTGTTCCCCACCTTTCAACTCTGCAATTATAACTACAGTGAGAATTAAACTGAAACTTTACCTAAATTTCTGTTATTCTCCTCCCATATCATGCTGACAGTAACGAGGACTTTACGATGCTGTATTCCTCAGAAGCCTCAGATGTTACTTAATCCAGATGTCTGCGTTTTAAATACATTTTAATTGATCGTTAAACGTTTGTGATGGGGAGCGTACTTTAGAAGCGAGGATTAAATGTTATGAAGAGTTAGTTTAGGTGCTTGCATGCCACGTTTTAGATCAGACTTAATGGTTATGACAAGAGAAGACTAAGTTTTATGTTTTCGAGTCCTTATTATTCCTTTGTATCTGTAAGTCTTAGCCTTATAAAATAATTCATCGTTTCCTTCAGTTTCTGAGCGAAGTCCATGAAAGCGTATAGTTGACGCCATATTATATGCACAGTTTAGAACACAATGGAAAATTAATGCAGCTGTTTTATCGAAATAATAATTATTATGGCACGAGACATGTGTTTCGTAAGCAGGGATTATTTCTTTTAACAGCGTTAACCAGTTGTTATTTGAAATGGTAAAGTGTTGTTTTCTTTGCGGTACGGTTTGAATTATTAAATATTATTTAGACGAGCTTCTACAGCCTAAACGTAGTAATTTCACATCTGATAGTATTCAAGAAAGGATTGGGTTATGTCTTCGTTATGTTCAATCGCTTCGCGGCCTTTCTCTCCCGCCTGCTCGCGTGTTTCTTGTTACTGTCATTCAGGCTTGGGGTTACGTTGCGTCCACCGTACACAGGACTTGGTCCTGGATGTATCCTTTGGAACGTGGAAGGGCACTGCTCGTTCGTTGTAGGTCAGGGAGTAATGTGAAATGCATACAGAATTTTAGTTGGTATAGATGAAGGCACAAGATCACTTACGGATAATAAACCCTACAGAATGTAGGGGCAGATGCTACCCCTGAGTCTCAAGAGTGGTTTATTCTGTCTCTACAATTAATGTTACTGAAACAGTTCTACATTTATCTCTGCCTCTATATTGAATGCACTCTCTCCTATTATTATAATTTACTTTGCTAATATATTCTCAGTTGTGACGTGTAAGAATGTATCTCCTTTTTCTTTATTTTATCTACTTGGACATATTTTACATTCGTAACCAGCATTTCGTCTTCAGGACGTTGTTTTTATTTCTTTATCATCCCATTTGTTGCTTCTGCGTCCGTTCTTATCTGCTGACTGATTCTACTTCTTCTCGCTCCTTCACCATTCTTTGGTCTAGTTTCTAGAACGACCTAGTCACAGCGTATACGAAGTGTTGCAGTGTATCAGTTTGTAGTAGTTACTGCACCATGATTGTAATTACTGAGGCACTTTTCTATCAGATAAATAAACAATTTTGTAATGCTGGATGAGATTATGTTAATTCAAAGCGTCAGCCGATAGGTGGCTTTGCTAGTGGTAGTGGAGATAATTATGCTAGTGGAAGACGCTGCTAACAAAAAATTAGAACGTGTACATATCATGAGTATTTTGAAATATTTTGACTGAGAATACTGTGAAAGAAGTGTAGGTATGTGTTGTTATGAACTTTTAATGTGTAAGTTACCCAGTGGAATTTTCGATATCGATTGTCGGTACCATGTGACGAAACACGCCATATCGCTCTCCATATTGGTCATAAAGTTTAATAGAACAGCACATAGCCCAGGAATGTTCAGTATTGGATCCAGCCAACTAGCGCCAGTAGACCCTGTAATCCCGCCATACAGCACCGTGTTGTTGGTAACGAAACAGCATGCACTGGCCAAACAGCTTAATATAATTTTATCTATTTTTAACACATTTGATACTTTCAGTTGCCTGGTCCAAATAGCGTCTAATGATAGGATTATTCGTGAATGAGAAACTGTAAAAAATATTGAAACAAGCGGTTGTGGCTTAATTATTCTATCTGTGCATTTGCGTAGAGGGGCTGAGGAGAACCACGATAAACATTTTGAAATACATAAAATAAGAAAAGCAGCTAATTTCATGGAACTAGAAAGAAAGGAAGTTGAGAAAGAGAGACGGAGAAAGAAGAAACATTGAAAAATTGGGAAAGAATATGAAAAACCAGAGAAAGAAAGAATAAACTTATATTGCAATATTTGACTCAGATGTGTCGATGTTTAAAGCGTAATTTGGAAAAGCATCATTACTAAGCAATAATATAGGTATTATATGTGATTGTTGTTCGTTGCGCCATGCATTTCCAAACGCCGTGCTCATGCGGCAACGTCTTTGTCAGTGTTGTAGTGCTGGTAGCGTAGAACGGGGCTCTAAACACTCGTGCAAACCTGGAGAAACATTCTCTCTTTCTTAGTGACTTGCGAGCCGCGGGAAACTTTGCGATAATTTATGAAAAATTATATAATAAATTACGTCTAGTGACGCAAACATGTTCACATGTGACTCAGTAATTTTCTTTAACCGAATCTGCCAAATATTTGTTATTGCTCTTGCTTCAATGGTCGTTTGATGTCAAGTTTAATTTGTGTTACTTCGATACTCGCTCGTCCCTCGTGCGTATCGAATCTCGGATTGCCTTTCCTCTAGGAATTTTTTTAAAGGTCTCAGAACCTGCGTGCTTTCCATCCATTGATTTTTTTTCATCTGTCTCTCAAAGTTTCACAACACTTAAACGTCATATTAATCGAACATTCACGTAGTCGTAATGTTATTTTATGGGTGAGAAAATATTTACCTTTAAAGTCGCTTAAGTATGATATACAAGACCTTATATAGTTATTGGTTTACGCATTTCGAGGATTAAGAGTGGACTAATGCAATGTGGGCCTTCGTTATTTGTATTCTTCCGCCTAATATATGAATATATTAAGAATAAGATAAGCGAGACACGTAGGCCGCATGGTTAAAC